CTAAAGAAGCAATAAAAACATTTTTTTTTAAAAAGATTAAATATTGCCATTTTCATCAACATGGAAGAATCTTGAGAGCATTATACTACAGTAAGTCAGATAGAAAAGGACAAGAACTATATGATTTTACTCTTACATGGGATATAAAACAAAAAGCAACAAAAGAACAAGCAAAACAAACAATACACAAATGAATGGATACAGATAACATAATGGTAGTTACCAGAAGGGAATGGGTATGGGGGGAGGGTGAAGAAGGTAAAGTAGTCAAATACATGGTGACAGAAGGAGACTAGAATTCTGGTTGTGAGTGCACAATAGAATGAAATTATGCCATTTGAAAAAACATATGTAACTTGATCACACAATGCTAAGGTTGATAAGTCAGAACAGAGAAAGACAAATAATATATGATATCTCTTATATGTGGAATCTAAAAGCAATCACAATATTTTGTAAACATTTTATTAAACATATTGGGGTGAGATTGGTTAATAAAATTATATACAATTCAATTGTATAATTCTATATCATCTGTATATTGTATTGTGTGTTCATCACCAAAAATCAAGTCTTTTTTTTTACCATTTATACTTGCTTTACCCTCTTTCACCTCCCTCACCTCCCCCACCCCCTTTTCTTTAAAAAAAAAAAGATATTTTTATTGATTTTTAGGGAGAGAGAAAGGGAGATGGAGAGAGAGAGAAACATCTGTCGGCTGCCTTCTGCATGCAGCCTGGACCAGGAATGGAACCGGCAACCTTTCAGTGCACGGGATGACACTCAACCAACTGAATCACACTGGCCAGGGCCCCTCTTCCTTTTGGTAATTACCATCCTGTTCTTTGTATCTATAAGTGTTTGGTTCTTGGTTTTTTTGTTTTGGCAACTGCCTTTATTTATTTATTTATTTAGGTTAATCCTTAAGTATATTTTTGAATTATTTTTAGAAAGAGTAGAAGGAAGGGACAGGGAGACAGAGAGAGAGAGAAATAGCGATGTGAGAGAGACACATTGATTGGTTGCCTCCCACATGGCCCAGACCAGGGCCAAGGATCAAATCTGCAACCCATTTATGTGCCGTTGACTGGGAATCGAACCTGAGACCCTTTGGTCCATAGGCAAACGCTCTTAACTGCTGAGACAAACTAGCCAGGGCTCTATGAGTTTGATTTTTTGTGCTTTTTTTGGCTTAATCTCTTCATCGACCTGGAGAGTATTTTGATAACTGAAATAAGCCTGTCTGTGCTCTGGTGGGTATGCTGGTGTGGCTCAGTTGGTTGGTTGTTGTCCAGTGCAACAGTTCAGGGAAAGGTTGTCAGTTCAGTTCCTGGTTAGGGCACATGCCTGGGTTGCAGGCTCGATCCCTGGTAGGGGGCATGCAGGAGGCAACCGGTTGTTTTTTCACTCTCACATCAATGTTTCTCCCTCCCTTCCTCTCTCTAAGAAATAAAAAAATAAAATAAATAAGCTAGTCAAAGACATACCATATGATTTCACTTATATGTGAAATCTAATGAAAAAAATAAACACAAACAGACTCATAGATTCAGAAAACAGACTGAAAACTGTTAGAGGGGAAAAAAACCCTGAAATCTTTTTTGTTTTGTTTTGTTAATCCTCACTGGAGTATATTTTTCCACTGATATTTTTAGATAGAGTGGGAGGGAGAGAGAAACATCAATGTGAGACAAACACATCGATTGGTTGCCTCCTGCATGACCCCAACCAGGACCAGGGACAAAAGTGCAACCCAGGTACGTGCCCTTGACTTGGAATTGAACCCAAGACCCTTCAGTCTGCAGGCTGATGCTCTAACTGCGGAGCCAAACTGGCCAGGGCATAACCCTGACATCTTACTTTTTTGTTTTGTTTTGTTTTTATTTATTTATTATTATTATTTTACTTATTTTATGAGCCCACCCCCAGTCCCTCCAACCCCCACCCCTCTCCGCCCCTTCCCCAGCCCACTAACCCTGACATCTTAAGAGCAGAGAGTAAGATGGTGGTTACTAGGGGTTAGGGATTGACAGAATGAGAAAGAAAGATGTTGTTTAAGGGTGCATACTTGCGCCCTGGCTGGTTTGGCTCAGCAGTTAGAGCGTCAGCCTGTGGACTAGAGAGTTCCGGGTTTGGTTCCCGCTAGGGGCATGTACCTCAGTTGCAGTTTGTCCCTGGCCCCCCGTTGGGGTTGTGTAGGTGGCAACCAGTCGATGTGTCTCTCTCACATCGATGTCTCTCTTCCTCCCTCTCTCCCTCCTGCTCTATCTGAAGATAAATGCAAAAATGTCCTCGGATGAGGATAAAAAAAAAAATAATAAGGGTACATACTTGCAACTAGTAGATAAATAAGTCCTGGAAATCTAATACACAGTACAGTGATTATAAACAACAAAACTGTACTATAAATATTACACTTGCTAAGAGGCTAGATCTTTTTTAAAATACATTTTTATTGATTTTTTTCCTTTACTGATTTGAGAGAGAGAGGAAGTGAGGAGCAGAGAGATAGAAACATCAATGAGAGAGAACATGGATTGGCCGCCTCCTGCATTCTCCACACCAGGGATTTGGCCCACAACCTGGGCATGTGTCCTGACTGGGAATAGAACTGGTGACCTGTTGGTGCAGGGTCGACATTCAACCACTGAACCACACCAGCTGGACTGTTTTTATTGATTTTTAGACAGAGAGAAAGGGAGAGAGAGAGAGAAACATCAATAAGAGAGAAACTTCAATTGGCTGCCTCCTGCATGCCCCGCACTAGGGATCGAGCTTGCAACATGGGCATGTGCCCTGACTAGGAATTGAATCCCAACCTCTTGGTGCATAGGTCAACACTCAACCACAGAGCCACACCAGCTGGGCTAGATCTTAATTGTTTCTAACTCTTAAAACAAATTATAATTACATGATATAAGAGAGGTTTTACTTACTGCTACAACAACAATTACAATTATAAGTGTCTCAAATCAACATGTCCTAATGTTAAAATTACACAATGTTGCATGTCAAATATATCTGAATAAAAATTGTCAAAAATGGTAACTATGTGAGGTGATGGATGTGTTAACTAGCTTGATTGTGGTAATCATTTCAAATATACAATGTATATGTATAGCAAACCATCATGCTATGCACCTTAAATACATACAGTTTTTATTTTATTATTTAAAATATGTTTTTATTGACTTTTTTAGAGAGAGAGGGAGAGAGAAACATTGGTGTAAGAGAGCTACATCAATTGGCTGCCTCTTGCATGCCCCCTACTGGGGATGGAGCCTGTGACCCCCAGCATGTGCCCTGAGGGAGAATCAAACCAAGACCTCTCAGTTCATGGGACAACACTCAATCCACTGAACCACACCAGCCTGGCAATATACCATTTTTAATTGTCAATTATATCTTGATAAAGCTGAATATAACATCATATTTAATTATCCATGTGAGAACTTTAGGATGCAAATAATTAATTGAGCTATTAAAACTACAGTTAGTCTACATTTCATTATATTATTATTTTAGTACTACAACCATTAAGTAATTTAATATTAAAAAAAAAAAAAAACACAACAAAGCTCTTCTCCTTTCCACACATTTACTGCATATATAACCATGAATAAAGAACAGAGAGCAACCTTCTTGAAATTCTTGCTCCCACATTGCAGTCATATAGAATGTGAATCGATCATGGGTCTCATCAGCAAAATCACACATGTCTTCATGTCATAGACCTTTGAAAATCATTAAACAGTGAGTATCAAATCCATAAATGTCAAAAGTTTGCTATACTTCTATTATAGCACTTAGACTTGTGTTATTGAACACATATTGCACTGATAAGAACATGAGCTTCTTGGGGATAGGGCCTATTTTTTCATTCTTTTATTCTAAATTTGGCCTAATACAAAACAACCAGTCCAAAACCATTTGTTGAATTAAATTGCTTCCCTAATTGGTCTCTCTACTCCCAGGCCATCCTTCTCTCCGAAATTCCGCCAGTTCTTTTACAAAGATACATCAGTGATAATGTAATTCTATTGTCCTAAAAACTTCAATGGCTGTTCATAATCTGTTTCATAGGACAATGTCCACACACCCTGTCTGGGCATATAATGACCTTCAAACCCTGCCCTTAGACTATATTCTCAGTCTCACAGTCAGCCTCTCCTCTTCACACACCCTCTTCTCAAGCCTTATCACCTGTTCCTAGAACACTGGGTTTTCATTACTCTGTGCCTTTGCAAATGCTGTTTCCTCTGACTAAAGCTCAGCTTAAAACTACCTTTGTAGCTTTTCTTGACCCCTCACAGATTTAATGTCTCCCCGCCTCCCCTTTGCTTTTCCTATATCAGTATGTTTACTTATTCTTCAAATTGACTACGTTAACTCAGGAGGAAGGGAAGAAGAGTTGGAAGGAGGAAGTGTCCAGCCAACGGACTTACCCAAGCAGCGACTGCAGCATTACGTACTAAGCATATTGTTCAAGAAGCAGTGGGAGGATGAAGCTGAGTGACCTTTAAGTCATGAGATGCTAAGGTGCATCTTTCACACTGCGTTTATGCGTGCTCATGTATGCGGGAGGGGGTCGTGTGCAAAGAGAAACAGACTGAGAAACAGAGGGGATAAGCGTGGACGCAGTGCAGCAAGAGCAGATGGGCAGACCCATATTTCTTCTGCTCTACAGTTTCTAGCCTCAACTAGCGCTGAGCAAGTGGGTGGGAGAGGAGGAAGGGGAGGGCCTGTGCTCGCTCTGAGCTGCCCAGCCTCGACTGCCCTAGGGATCACTTCCACTCCCCGGCCAGTGCTGTTCGCCATGACTCATGCCTATTGTGCCAGCCGGGGCGAACTCTGCCCCACAGCCCCACAGGTGGTAACGGCTCCGTGAGAAGGTTCCCGCCAGGGTAGGCAGTGGAGCGCCGCACAACGCGCCTTCCTGCCTCCCAGCTGCGGCCCCAGCAGTTCCGACCCAGCGCCATCAGGCCTGCTCGGTCGATCTTCGAGCTGAAGATGCGGCGGGGCTGGAAGATGGCTCTGTCCGAGGGGCTGCGGTGCTGCCGCCGGGTACTTTCCTGGGTGCCAGTGCTCGTTATCGTCCTCGTCGTGCTTTGGTCTTACTATGCCTACGTCTTTGAGCTCTGCCTGGGTAAGTGGAGCTGGGCACCTAAGGTAGGGAATTATGCTCCAGCATAATCGCCTGCCCTACCCTTCACTGGTGTTCCCTGTGCTCTCAGCCCTCACACTGCGGGGTTTTTTTTCTTTATCTGCCTGAAGAGCTCCCCACCTCCGACCTCTTGCCACAATATTTCTTCCCCTACCCCGCCCCCCAAAGATCCCACCTTGTCTCCATAGCTTCTCACCTAGGGTTTCTTACATTTCCTGGCCTTACCCACAAGGAATTCCATGTTCTCCCCACTAGGGCTCCCTTTTCTATTACAGAACAAACACTTGTGCCTTGTATTCTCATTCTGGGGGCTCCCGCCCTACCACAATGAGGAAACAGCATATCCTGTATCCTTAAACTGTCCACTTACATTACAAAACCCACCAATGCTTTCAACTAGGAACCCCACATTTCCCCACACTCTCTAACTAGGAATTTCAAAATATTTTCTGTGTTCTCTTACTAGGCTCTTCTTTTTCCAACATGAGGCTTAATCCTTTTTTCATATTATCTCACTAACTGAAGAGCTTCATATCTTCTCCAACTTGGGACCCCCCCCCCAGCATACCTTGTTCTATCCCACAAAGTGGTAAGCCTTCCATTCTCTCCCTGTGAGCTTCACCATATTTCATCTTCTCCAATGGAATGGGAGTCCTATAATGTATCTTGCCGTGTCCCCTCACACTAGAGCCTCTGACTTTATCACACTGGGGTTCCCTTTAGTCTCTTGCCTTTCTGCTTTGAGGAGCATTTAGTACTTCCCATGGAGGCTCCACATTATTTTCAACATCTCATACTAGTCACCCTGCGTTTTATCACACTAGGGTCCTGCCTTGCGCATTGTCTTCTCACACTACAGTGTCCTCTTTACTCTCCCACAGGGTTCCAACAATACTTCTCATACCCCTTCCAAGGGCCACTACTTTTCTAATGATGATCCCCCTTTTATCTTTTTTAACATCTACTCCCACCCCCTGCAGTCTTCTTCTACTGTTAGCCCCACGTTTTGCCACTCTTTCTCTGAGTTTTTTTCTTCTTATTTCTCTTGCTTCCCACTAGTATTGCACTTGTACCCTGTCTTCTCAAATAAGAAAAACACCACCTGTTCCCTCTGGAGTTTCTAATATTTCCTGCCCCTTTCAGTGGGAGCCTAATTTCTTGCCTCTTCTTCATTAGACCACACATTTTATAAATTTGAGGACTCTTCTTGTACTCTGTCTTTTCAGACTAGGGAGCATTCCGTCTCCTCCTTATCTATAAAATGTTCCCACAGTATATTCTATTCTTATAAACTCAGAATGCCACAATATTTCTAGACATAAATTCCAAGATCTTATCCTGTGTTTTCCCTACTTAGTTAACACCAAGTCCCCTATCTTTATCACAGGTGTCCTTATCAATTCACAGTGGACTTTTCATATTATATCATGTCTCCTCACAACACAACTGCTTTCCTCACATTGAAATTTCCTCTTACCCCTATTCTCTCTTATTGAAGAATTTCCACATCTTCTCAGAGATTGCACTAATTATTATTGTCACTTAAATACTAGAATCCCAATTCACGGACCCTTAAACTTATGTCCTATAATGTTCCTTATTCATTCAGTGTGAGCTCCCAGTATATTTCCAGTACCCTCACATTAAGACTCCTACTTGTTATGTTGGACGTCATCTCCCAAGTCCCTCCAAGACTGTTTTATTTCTTCATACCAGATTCTTATCACATTAAAAATTATAGTTAGGGTCCTGCTTTTTCCAACCCAGGACTGACTCTACTTGTAACTTTCTTCTCTTACATAGTCTATTTCAAGTACACTAGGATTAACTTAGGAGGCAGAAAAATAACCCCCTTTTTCAATATAGAATTTTCTTGTACTCAGTTCTGTGCGTCAGAGTTTGAACTTTCCTCACCTTTTTAGACTTATTGTGGAAAATGCAGAAAGACTTATTAAAATTAAATTCAGTTAGTTGCCTCCATAGATGCAGATTTTGGCTTTGGTTTTCTTTTGATCTAAATCTGGTATTGAGGTATATTAAGTGGGCCATACAGTGACTGGAAATTTTTCTATTCCTAGACCTTACCACCTTGCTTTTTTGAAGGATTGACTGAAGGGCTAAGAGTTCAGCCCATCATTATAGTATGGACTTTACATCTAAGTTCAATGCCATATTGTAAATACTATTAAACATATTTTGGAGTTTTTCAATACTGAACTATGTGAGCTTTGCCAAGCAACATTTAAAAAATTTATAATGATTATGACTAACACTTAGATAGGGCTTAATCTGTGCTAGACAATCTTCTAGGTGCTGTAGATATATTAACTCTATATTGATTCCTTTAGTTCTCACAATAACCATACAAAGCAGATACCATTACTATCCCCATTGTATACATGTGCAAACTGAGGCACAGATGAGGAAAATGAGGTAAAGACCAAGTTAGAATCAGTGCAAATAACCACCTTTCCAAAAGTTCTTATTAAAGCATACAATATTGAAATCTGAAAGAAAATGTAGAGCTTATTTATTTTGTTTTCTTAAACATATTTGCAAAGCACTTGTTACATGTCAGACACTGTTTTTAAATGACCAAATACACCTCTCTCTCCCTCCCTCCATCTCACTCTCTCTTAATCCTCATACTAACCTTATGAGGTACATACTATCATTATTCCCATGTTAAAGAAAAGCCAACAGAGACACATACAGTAAGAAGCTTGCCTAAGGTTACAGAGCTAGTAAATAGCCAGGCTTGGACGGCAACCCAGGCAGTAGGCTCCACAGTCCATGTTTTAACCACCACAGTATCTTAACTCTTTGCCTCCTCTCAACTAATACAGAGGTCAAAACTATGACTCACAGGCTAAATGTATGTTATTTGGCCTGAACAATGTTTTCTTAACATTTTGCGCCAGTTACTATTATTTCAAAATCAGAAGAGTAAGTTAGCCTTTACTTCCAATTCTGGCTCTACCAATCCATCCTTTCATCTTCATTTTACAATCTTTAACAAATTAGAGACCTGGCTTTCAGAAATGTTAAATCAAATTTTGCTCAAGTCACATGTTTAGTAAATTAATGGAGAATTGGATGTCAAGGCTGCTTGATATCTAAGCAATACAACTAAAAAGTATCCAGTTTTTAGGTAAAATTCACATATCCTAAAATTATTTTTATTTATTTAGTTACACGTTCTCTCTCTCTCTCTCTCTTTTTTTGTCATTGTTGTTAATCCTCACCCGAGAATATTTCTCAATTAATTCTTAGATAGAGTGGAAGGGAGGGAAGGGAAGAGAGAGAAACATTGATGTGAGAGAGACACATCGATTGGCTGCCTCCCGCACAACCTCACCTAGGGTCAGGGATTGAACCTGCAACCCAGGTATGTGCTCTTGACTGGGAATTGAATCAGAGACCATTTGGTCGGCCAGCCGATACTCTAACCACTGAGCAACCCAGCCAGGACAAAGTTAACTATTTTTAAAGTGTTCAATTCAGTGACCTTTAGTACATTCACAGTACTGTACACCGTAATTAATATCTAGTTCTAAGACATTTCATCACTCCAAAAGGAAACCTCATTGTCACTAAATAGGCATTCCCCATTTTCTCCTTTCCCCAGTCTCTACCAGTCACTAATCTGTGTTTCGTCACTATGGATTTACCTATTCTACATGTTTCACATAAATGGCATAATACAATACAAGGTGTGTCAAAAGTAGGTTTACAGGCATTCATGTGAAAAATAATACAATAATTAATAGATAAAAATACAAGAATAAACTCTGTTTCACATACTCACAACTGTATGTGTTCATTTGTGTCTGGATTATTTCAATTAGCATAGTATTTTTGAGGTCCATTCTCATTGCAGTATATAACAGTACTTCATTCATTTTTATGGCTAATAACCCATTTTATGTACATACCACACTTAATCCATCTATTACTTAATGGACATTTGGATTGTTTCCACCTTTTGTCTATTCTGAAGAGTGCTGCTATAAACAAGTATTTGTACAAGTATTTGTTTGAATACTTGTTTTCAATTTTTTGGAATAAATACCAAGGAGACAGGTGGAAATTGCTAGGCTGTATTCTATATTTAACTTCTTAAGGAACCTAAAAAATAACTTCCACTATAGTTGCACAATTTGATATTCCTACCTGTAATGCAGGAGGGTTCTAATTTCTCCATATCCTCACCAATACTTTTTGTTTTCCATTTTTATTACAGACATCATAGAGGTTATGAATTTTAAGATCAGCTTTTCCACTTCTGCAAAATGGTTGGTGGAATTTTGATTGCACTTACTTTGCATATTCTTTTGGAGAGAATGATCATCTTAACAATATCAAGTTTTCATAACCCATAAACATGAGATATCTTTCCATTTATTTAGGTCTTTAATTGCTTTCAGCAATATTTTAGAATTTTAATTGTGTAAGTCTTGAGCCTCTTTGGTTACATTTATTCCTAAGTATTTTACTTTTCTTGATGCTATTACAAATGGAATAGTTTTTTTAATTTCTTGTTATGCTTTTTCTATGCTTGTGCATAGAAATAAAACTTATATGGGTTGTTGATCCTGTGTTCTCCAAATTTGATTAATTTATTCATTAGGTCTAACAGGTTATTTCGTAGATTCTTTTTATAAAATATTTTTTCTTTATTGATTTTAGAGGGAGAGAAAGATAGAAACATCAATGAGAGAGAACATCGACTGGCCGCCTCCTGCATGCCCCCCACTGGGGATCGGGCCCACAACCTGGCATGTGCCCTGACTGGGAATCGAACCAGCAACCTCTTGGTGCATGGGTCGACCCTCAACCATGGAGCGACACCGGCCAGGCTTTTTTGTGGATTCTTTTGAATTATTTGTACATGGATCACATCATCTGAAAATAAAGATAATTTTATTTATTTCTAATTTTTCCATTAATGCCCTTTATTAAGTTGTGGAACTTTTCTTCTA